ATTAGAAACCACAGACCTCAGAATAACAGGCCTCTGGGCTCCTGGGAGGGAGCGGAACAGGACTACACTGTGGATCAGGGCATCCTGGAACTGTCACCAGCAGGAGGCTGCTCAGGCCCAGAACCAACCTGGCCAAACTCAGCCTCTGGCACCAGAGCCTGGTGGGGAAGGGGCGGGTAGGGAGGGAAAGCCCACACCTTTCCCTAGTTCTCTATGAGCCCAATGACATCCAACCTCCCTTGCAGGCCTGTATACTCCAGATGATGAGATCTGTCTGCCTCACTCTCCATCCTCTCCAGCACCAGGCAGGGGCTGGCACAACAGGAATGCCGGCCCATATAGCAGCCAGATGGGCTTGGATGAGTGGACACCTGAGGAACCAGCAGAGGGGCACAGAAGGGCCAGGGAGCCAAGATGTGCCAACACACTGGGGAAAAGACCCTGGGTGTTAACAGTGGCTTCTGGAGCAGGGACAGGGAAACAAGAGGGACAGAGAAACTCTTGGAAAAAGGCCTCGAGTCTTAACAGTGGCTTCCTGGGGGAGTCTGGAGGGACAGGGAGAACTGCCTCATGTCATCCACAGGAAAGCCATCACTAAGAGAGGTCGGAGCAGTAGCCACCCTGCATGTGGCCAGCGGGCTGGGGAAATGCTCAGACTGCCCATGTCAGACCTGTCCACCTCATGTGCCTCACTGAATCTCACACCTGAAAGTGTCTTAAAATATTCTCTAGCTCCTTGATAACTATCACTTAAAGCAGCCAATCACCAGGTCCTGGCACCATAAACCAAGGAGCTGACTCTGGCCTTCTCCAGGCAGATGAGAGGCAGGAAGGATATGGCCTTGGTCAGAGAAGACAGCAAGTCAGCTCCAGTGCTGGGGCCATGCCTGCCAGCTATGCAGGTGCACAGGTGATGGAGCTAATGCTCACCCCCAGGCACAGCTGGGAAGTCACATGGTTGTGTCCAGAGCTGCACATGTGCTGCCACGGTGTTGGTGTGAAGCTGACGCACACCCCCAGGCGCAGCTGGGAAGTCACAGGGCAGGATGCATCCAGAGCTGCACATGTGCCGCCATGGCGTCTGTGTAGGTGGTGACGGCCGCAGCCCACCCAGCACCCCTGCCAGGTAAGCTTCCCCCCCCCCCACCATCTGCCTGTCTTGCCCTGGTAGGGAAGCGTACAAACAAGGCGGCTGGTACTTCGCCTGCCTCTCTTCTGCTGAGTGTGGCTTAGAGAGCAGGAGGAGAGCTCAACTGGCTCAGGGACTGAGATGAAACTGCACGTCACAACCCAGTGACACTGTAGGAGGGCTCCCAGCAAGCGAAACTGGGCTGGGGTGTGGGACAGAGGGCACTGGCGAGCACCTGGTCCTGTGTGTGAGCACAGTTGACACTAGGTGGGCTCTGTTTGTGCTTGAGCTGGTAACAGTTGGGTTTCCTTCCCTACCATGTAGGAGAGCACCCCAGTCCACCCAAGGAACACACCACCCACCAAGGGCACACAAGAGAGGCGTCAACACCCCCAGAGGCAGCAGCCTCCAGGCGAGGACGGCCAGGACGTGCCATCTCAGGAAGCGAGTCGGAGGCAATTAAGCCTGTTTCAGAATGGGCTTGGCAGGTGGCGCCGAATCGATAGATCCTCTGGCAGCGCGGCACTGCAGGTGAGGAATCAATCAGGTAAATGCCTCCCAATCTGTTCCCACTGTGCGAAGAATCAGCGCTGTTTACCACTCAGCCAGAAATAAATAAATAAAGCTGCCAATTAGCCAGCACCCCTTTCCACTGTGGCAAGGGCTTTTTAGCTTCTTCAAATACACCAGGGCCCTGCAAAGCCCTGCACAAAAGCGATGGCCCCAGGACAAGAAATCGGTTTCGAGCAGGGCTCCTCCCCTAGGTGGGGAAGCTGCGCACAAACCTCCAGGAGCAAGGCGAAGGCCCCAGTAGCCCCAGTACAGATGCGGCCAGGAGCCCCTAGCTCTCCACGCCCCTGCTCACCCTGCAGAGCAGCAAGGCAGGAGGGGCAGGCCACAGGGCAGAAGTGCAGGACCCACTAGGATCGAGACCCGGAGAACAGGCAGGCCCACCCATACAGGCCTCTTCCAACACTCCAGGGGCACAAGGGCTCTGAAGAGCCTCGCACAGGAGCAAAATGCACAAACACAGGGATGTGGAACTGCCACAGAGCATGGAACCAATTCGGACAGCCGGCCTGCATATTGTCTACCCCAGCCAACAGAGACAGACTGCCCAGGGTCGCGGTGGGGACAGGATGGCTAGGAGGACTCCGGCAGAGAGGAGGTCATGAAGCTCTCTCTCTGTGCTCAGCAAGGAGCATCTGGGGCTCCACAACTCCCCAGGGGCTGACCTGACGGGTCTTCATACACCATGGGAGGGGCGGGCCCAACCCACCCCACCCCACAGCACCCCTGCCCCACCCTTGGTTGCTGCGGGCCATCTGGCAAGGATGGTGAGCCCACAGCACCACCACAGGGTGGGTAGCAGCACCCCTGCCCCACCCTTGGTTGCTGCGGGCCATCTGGCAAGGATGGTGAGCCCACAGCACCACCACAGGGTGGGTAGCAGCACCCCTGCCCCACCCTCCTCTGGGTCAGGAGACAGCCATTCCACCTGGAATTCCAGCCATTCCACTTCCTCAGTGCCAAGCACGGTCACACCACACAACAGAGGCACCTCCGGGTGAGGGAGGATGCCAGGTCTCTGCCAGGGATGCCAGCAGGCCTCTCTGGGGCTTGAGGAGGGTGCAGGAGCTACAGGTGGCCAAGGACAGAGGCAGCGGCAGCGGCCCCTCAGCTCCAGGGCAGGAGACACACAGAGATTCGAGGATGCAGGTGGTCTCAGCTCCACATCCTGGGCCCCTGCCCATGCTGGGCTCCCTGCCTGCACTAACAATTGAGTCCTCACAGCAACCCTAAAAGTCCCTGTCCCCAGGTCTGCACTTTACAGGTACAGGACCTGCCACAGAAAGGTCACATCAGACCCCAGGTTATGAGGCACACCAGCGGCACAGCAGTGGCAGGACAAGTCACTGCCACAGTTGCCAGGTGTCCTCTAGCAGGTCCTGGACCCGAGGGTGGGAGTGGCACCATGAGGCAGGTGCCGACAGAGCAGGTGGGTGTGGTGCCCTTTCCCATGACCCTGATGACGGGACAGATGCCTGGCTGGGGACAAAGAGGACAAACAGCAGCCCTGAGATGAGTCGCCCACAGATCCTTCCTCCTAATACTGGCCCCACATGTGCCCTGGGCAACAGCTCAGTGGCAGGCAGTGATGCCTCTGCAGCCTGGTGAGCGAGCTCCACCATACTCTCAGGACAAAACTGTAACATGGCATCTGAGATATCCTGCGAACATTTACGAATTCTCACCTGCCCAGGTGCCAAACCCATTCCAGCTACAACTCCCACCAGGTGAGGCAGAACCTCACTGGCAGGAGGCTGGCTTGAGGTTTCTGACAACTCTAAACAGGGCAGTGAACCATGGGCCCTCTCACTCAGAGGCAAGCACCCAGAAGCGCCGGGCAGCATCAATGCTCCAGAAACTGCAGATCAGTCTGAGGTCCTACCTCCAGCTGAGGGCTTCCTAGGATCACTTACTGCAGCTCTTAAAAACAAACTGGGGAGACAATATCAAGAGAGGCTCCTGACATTTGTACTGCTTTAAAATCAGAAGAATGGACAAAAGTCAGCTTAAGTGTCTGTTTAAGAGCGAGCCAACACTGGCATCTGAGATGCAGCCCATCAACCCCTGGCCCGCAGCCCCTGGGCCTCCTCACGTTTACGGTGTTGCAGGCAAGAAAGCGAGCACAGCCAGGCGGCCTCCTAGCGACGGGTCATCTTCCGTGGGCTGCTTTCCACAGGCGGCTGAGGCCCGCGGCGCTGGAGCAGTGGACTCGAGGACAGGCCCAGGCTTCAGTCCTCACTGCCACTTCCTGCTGGGCGAGGGATGGCACCCCTACCACATGGCCCCGGTTCCAGCAAAGACCTGGCAAGAGGCTGAAGGACAGTGCCTCGAGAGCCAAGAACAGACACATGCAAGGCTCAGAGTGCAGCCCATGGACAGGAACAACCTACAAAGAACAACCCTTGGAGGGCCCCAGGTTGAAGACTCCACCTAGAAAAGGGTGGTAACAAAGGCAGCTTCAAATTCCATTTTCAATAAACGCACAGGCACTCGGGCACACAGCAAATGTGGACCAGATCACTGGAGGCCCCCAGCCCACACACGCAGGAGCCTGGAGGTCCTGTGCACAGCTGCAGAGCCATCTCCCTTCTCAGGCCTGGGGACACCTGACCCGGCAGCTCAGGCGAGGCACAGTGAATGTGCACCAAGTGGTCACTAAGAACAGACATCAGCCGATACTGCCGGCCTCCTGAACACCAAGCACACACCAGGCCTGACCCAGCTCTGAAAGAGTGAGGAGGCTCAGGAGCGTCTCTGAGGACTGGCCTCTTCTGGCACTCAAGAGTTTTAAAACTCTCAAAAAAAAAAAAAAAAAAAAAACCCCACGCAAGTTTAGTAGGTTCCTTCTGTAAGGAGGCAGAGTGATCACTGGGCAGCTTTTATGCCTGTCATCAGCCGCACAGTGAGCCACGAGCCTCCACCCACCAGGTGCTCACTGACACTGTCCCTGTGGGTCAGGCTTCATTAGAAACCACAGACCTCAGAATAAATAACCCCCCTTCACACTGCCAATAGGACATTTCAAACAATGGCAGATTACAACTGAGAACCTGGGAGAAAGCCACCGGGCTGAGTCACATCCAAGGCCGCATGCCCAGGGAAAGGCAGAGCAGATGAGGGTGGGATGAGGACATGTGAACATCCTCCTGGAGGGGGCCTCTTAACAAACCCACTCTGAGGACAGTCTTGCACAGTGCTGGCCTGACCGGCTTGTTCCAGTGCTTGGGACTGGCGTGAGCCCACGGGCCTTTGCCAGTCTTGAAGTGCCGCAGAGAAGACATCCCCGCCCTACCCTGCTTACCATGAGGAGGAGATGGACGCAAATCTGAAGTGATCACGGGGTACAAAGGAGCGGCACCCCGAAGAGCCCCAGCAAGACACAGGAGGCTGTGGAGTGGGGCCCGCAAGGGAGCACCCAAAGGGCAGGGGAAAGAGCAGAGGAGGAGCTGGGGCTAAGAGGCTGGCAGGGACAGCATGGCACGTTTGATCCAGGGAGGATTCTCCTGAGGGCGATGGACACAAAGCCTCTTGTAAAGCTGCCCTGGGCTGTGCCATGGAGCAGCAGCTGCACACGAAGGAGAGGGCCTCAGGCCACACACACTGGCAGGAAGGACCAAGGACCAGATGTCAGGAACCAGGAATAGATGGGCATGAGGGAGGGAGCAGAAACAACTGGGGAAAGGCAGCAGCCTGGAAAGGAGGAGATGGGCTGGAGAAGGCACTTGGGTGGCATGGAACTGCGAGAGGTCTGAGACCCACAGGAACACACCTGCGACTACAACCTCACACCCACCAAAGACCCCTGCACTCCAGGAAACGCACGAGAGCAGCCGGCACTGTGGGTGTCAGTGCCCGATTCCCAGCGTCAGGGGAGCAGAGGCCTGCTAGGAACGAGAAAAGTCTGGGGTAGAGGTGCTGCGGCCTCCGAACCCCACTACCCATGCCGGCACGCAGCTGGCAATGGCCCTGGAGCAGGTCTGAACTGGCTCCAACCAGCAGCTGCGACCTCAAGCAAGAGACTGGCTCGCACCTGAGAGATTAAGATAGTGTGGACCTCTAAGTACTTCATGATAAGAATGAATGGATGAAAGGCCCAGACACCAAGAGGCATTCAATAAATAAAACGCTTTTTGAATCACGGTCATTGGTTACAAGGAGGTGAGCATGCTACTTCAACTCATAATCAACTCAGGCTCTCATCACCCGTTTAGGAGCTACTGACGCCATCCCCCAGATTATTTCTAAATCAATGTGTTTCTCATGAAACCAAAAGATTGTCCCAGTCTGCATATGTTCTTTGTAGTTCTCTGGTCCCAGACTAATTATTTTGCATTTCTGTCACTGAATCGCATTTGTCATCAGCAGCTCAGCCACCTCTCATCTCCCAAATGGCGCTGCTAAAACCTGACAGGGCTATCCAAGCTTAGAGTCTCTGAAACGCAGCCCTGGTGCTAGAGTGGGAGGGTAGAGGAGGCAGGAACACCATGAAAGACCCAGGCAGTTCAGGCATCATGAAACACCTGCTCATCAGCACAGAGTCACAAAGAGCACAGACCAGGAACAGGAAGGCTGCTTCCGGAAAATGGCCATTCAGGAGAGGCCGGGAGACCTGCCCTGCCTGAGGGAAGGCCCTGATGGGAGTCTCTGCACCCAGAGGCCTCAGCAAGGGCACAGGCACGCCACCAGAGGCTGTGTGACATGAAGAGCTGAGCAAGAAAGCAGAAAACACAATGTGTCCGCAAGAAGGCTGAAGGCTCGGCTGGGGCCTTGGTCATGGCAGGGATCCTGGCGGGGATACTGGGTGGGGCTGAAACCGGCTGCCTCTACCCTTCTCACTCTGGGGAACAGAACAGGTGGCTGCTGGGACCTGTCCTCAGAAGGTCCATTCTGCCACCCACGAGCCCGTCAGGCCACGCCATGCCTCCCTAGGGGCAGGAGGCACCATCCTCGGCTCACACGCTACAGTCTCTCTGCTCCCACCCTCAGGCTTCCCACGTGCGAGTCAGGCCCATGGACCACAGAGGGGAGGAGGAAAGCCAAAGATGCAGACAGGCATTCCCGAGGCTTCAGGGTATCTGGACCTTGAGGGGGCAGGGAGTGCTGCTGGCACTGACCAACTGGGCAGAGTGGAGGTGGCATGTAACCCCACCCCAAGGATAAAATTGGGTTTGTGGATAGGCAGCTCCCTAATCTTCCTTCCAGTTCCGGAGCCAGCTGGAAGGGGCAGGGACTGCGCAGGCGCATTCCGTGAGGGTCCTACAGATCCCCGGGGTGGCCGGGGCCGCCAGGACTCACCCACCACCAGGAGTGTGCTCACATGTGCAGCGGGTCGACACCAGGTGGGTGCTGGCCAGGGGGTGGGGAGTGAGCAAAAGAATACAGAGGCCTGGAAGAGGGAAAGCCCATGGTTCTGCCTATGGCCAGATATCTGAATGTACTGTGGCAGGCATGGAAGAATAAAAGGTCTGCCTCTACTGGACTGTGAATGTGGACAGGCCCAGGCAGGCCAAGCCATCCAGCAGGCTCACTGAGGCTCCTGTCCATACAGCTCCTGCTGGGCAGCGCCCCTCCCACTGTAGGCCTGAATCCATCACCTGCCAGCGACGAGGACGTGAGGGACATGCACTTCTCAGAGTCCAGTCACACACAAAGCAGCAGGACAGGAACCCCGGGTACCTCCCATCATGAGGGAAGAGCACACATTCGATCCCATCCCTCTGGAGGCCGCCTGTCTAACGGAGATGGTTTCCCTGATGAGAGGAAGGCTGGCGAGAGACACACAGCTGGATGTGCAGGCTCATGCTTCTGCCCACAGATCAGAAAAACAAATGCAGGGTTTTTTTGAGACAGAGTCTTGCTCTGTCGCCAGGCACCAGGCTGGAGTGCAGTGGCGTGATCTCAGCTCACTACAACCTCCACCTCCCCGGTTCAAGCAATTCTCCTGCCTCAGCCTCCCGAGTAGCTGGGACTACAGGCATGTGCCACTACGCCCAGCTAATTTTTGTATTTTAGGAGAGACAGGGTTTCACCATGTTGGCCAGGATGGTCTTGATCTCTTGACCTTGTGATCCGCCTGCCTTGGCCTCCCAAAGTGCTGGAATTACAGGCGTGAGCCACTGCACCCGGCCAAACGCAGTTATTTTTACACACACATCAGAAGCAGTCCAAGAAGTGCTCTCTTCACCCCAGGCCTGAGCCAACAGCCTCCCCCAGGATCTTGTCTGGACACAAGGAAGGTACGCAACACAACCACCACCGTTGGAGGGGCAGACAGGTGGGCAGCTGGGTCAACAGGCGGAGGGGGACTCATGACTCCCAAGGGACCCACTGCCAGGACACTCCCAACCAGTCCAAAAAGCTGTCCTTCTGGAGCCCAGCAGAAGGGTGAAGAAAACATTACCCAACAGAGGGGCAGGGATGGGGGTAAGCACCAAGGCAGGCAGGCAGGCTCCAGCACCAAGTGGGTGCAGGAAATGCCCCCGGTTGCCCCTATGCCCCTCGCCACATCAAAAGTACCTCCATGTGTCGGGAGGTAAATGCCCTCCTCTTGGACTTCCCTGCCCAGCCCTCAGCCTGCAGCAGGTGTCCAGCTGGGTGCAGCCACAGGGCTCACCTGAGAGGTCCAGCATTCGAGTGTCTCTGTGCTGAAGCACTTCAGTCACCACATCCTGGGGCTGAAGAGAAGCTGGCCTGGACACACAGCACCTTGAGGCCAGGTCCTAAGCCCAGAGTTCTCTCCATACCATTACAGCACGCCCCTCTCCAGGAGCTCCCCAGGGGCACACCAGATGAACAGGCTGAGGAGTCTGGAATAAGGAAGCAATTGAGAGGCCAGAGCTTAACTCTCTAGGTCATCAGCTTCAGGTCTGGCTGAGACCAGCCTCCCACACAATCTTGGGCCCACTTCCCCCACCACTTGTAAAATAAAATAAACATCAGGACTGTCACAGTTTATTATGCCAAGGGGGAAAGATAAGCCCCGGAGACCCAGCCGGAGGGCATGCCCGCAACTCTTCTTCTTCATTCTTGTTCCGTAAGTGACTAGAAAAGACCACACACCAGATCTCTCCCACTTCCAGTCACCAATCTTTGTGATGGATTAACTGCCTCTTTCACTGTCCTGCACCTACAGACCAGATGGCACAAGACCCCATGCCTGCTACATCTTCCATATGGATGCCAAATCAACCTTCCCTGAAAGATAAAGGCCACCGCATGGAATCAGATCTAACGATGGATTAAGCCCTCATGCAGAAGGATGCTGAGATTCTCCTAAGCTTCCCTAAATTTGTCTATATAAATGATCCCGAACTTCCATGCTTCGGAACACTGACTTCCATTCTTTGGAATCTGTGTTTCCTTGGTGCCCGTCCTCAAAGAACCTTGCACTTGAATAAACTCTCTTTAAACTAGATTTGGACCCTTTGGAGTATTTTGGGTTGAAATACTGCACTATGAGTTCCTAAAAGAGATGGACGTGCAGGGTGTCGGCCTTCTTCGGGCCCCGGAGCGGACCGGCACACGGCACATGCTCATCCCAGGTACCTCAGGAATCTGCAAAGGCAGTCTTAGCCCAAATGCTTAAAAAACAGAAAGCACACATGTTCTAAGGTCTGGAGAGGCACAATCCCCCTTGCTTCTCTACCTTGTGATGAGAGGCTACGTTAAAAATGGCTTAAGCATCATAAAATCAGTTACATTCATGGTGAGGAAATATGGAAAGGCAGTAAAATTGGCAGAGTATGGAGATGAGAGGACACTAACCTCCCTGGCTCTCCAAGGGAAATAGGGAACAGCTGAGACTGAGAGAGGAAAAGGAATTTAACAAATTTAAAATTCAAAGTGCTGCTTCTGCTTCCCCAACGAGCCTCGTCAGTCCCAGGGGACCTCGCGCAGACACTGATGGCGTCCTTGCTCAAGTCCTCCCAGCTCATCCTTACAAATGTGCTGGAACATTCGTGCCTGCACCAGCTGGGCCCCCAGGTTCTGATCCAGAGAGTGGCAATGAGGGCAGTTAAGGTGTGTCCTCCAGGCCCACCTCCCCAGGGGTGCCCTGTGCCCTTCAGCCCCCATCAGCCCTTATTCCCACCCCAGCCCATTCAGGCTGGGAAGGGCAGCAGAATGTGACAGCCATCACACCTGGGGTGTCTCTGGTCATGAAACGGGACCTGCTTCCTTCTTTCAGCAACTGGCAGTCACACAAGTCCTGTGAGCCCCCAACAAGTACCTGACCATCACACATGATATGCCGCCTGGGGGCTGGTCAGGTGTTCCTAATGGAGAGAATAGTGAATGATGTGCCTTGTGGACCGACCCACCAAGGTGCTGCCTCCTGACGCTCAGTGTGGTCTCTCTCCTCCATGCAAACAGCAAGGC